TTCTTCGATATAAATTTGGAACGTTTGATTTTAAATTTGGAACGTTTGATTTTAAATTTGGAACGTTTGATATAAATTTGGAACGTTTGATTTTAAATTTGGAACGTTTGATTTTAAATTTGGAACGTTTGATATAAATTTGGAACGTTTGATTTTAAATTTGGAACGTTTGATTTTAAATTCGGAACGTTCATTTTACATTTACGACGTTTTTGTTGTAGATGTTGGAGCGTATTTTTTAATAATGGGAACGTTTGATTTTAAAGATTTAAATTTGGGTCGTTTCTTTAGGAGGATACAGATTAAAAATAACTTAGGACTTATAAAACTTGTCTACAAGTCTTGTTCTTTAGTGCAGCATCGTGCAAGAAATCAGAGATAATCTTAACACAAAACATCGTATAGGAATCTTAGAATGAGAAATTTTAACATCTTTAAGATAAAATTTGGCAGGGTAAAAGAGATATTTGATAAATGATTGGCCATGTTTATTAGATCTTGGTACTGGTTTCAAGGGTTATTTAGATAAAGGTAGATGCTATCCAGATAAGCCATGTGCTTTCTACTAACTTTATCAAGTTTATATTTTTATTTACATTAATGAGCCCATTTTAAAGGTAGAAGCCTTCGTAATTTTTAGTCAAATTATCAATTATTATGTATTTCTTTAATAGGTTATATAGCTCTACAATTGATGTATTGAGCACTATTTTAACAGTGGTATTTCTATATAGCTCTACAATAGATATATTGAGTACTATTTTAACAGTGGTATTTCTATATAGCTCTACAATTGATATATTGAGTACTATTTTAACAGTGGTATTTCTATATCGCTCTACAATTGATTTATTGAGTACTATTTTAACAGTGGTATTTTTATATAGCTTTACAATTGATATATTGAGCATTACTTTAGTTGAAAGCTATTCGATAATACCTATTGGAAAATATTGCAGTCAATAAGATACTTCAAAAATCAAATTCATACTTAAACAAACGTTGGATATCTTAGACGTAGATTGTAATTGAATCATACGCCTAACATTAAAATCTGATTTATTAGAAAATACTCCATCAATAAGTCAAGAGAATTTTATATCAAGGTTTTGATTGACAGACCAGGTAGTAAAGTGTAAAGAGATATACCTTCAGTTCAAACATCTTGATATAAGTACGCTACTTGATATACTCATGTACATATTTCATTTCGTACTTTTAAATATTAGATATAGAATGACATAACGTATAACTTACTTAAAATACTGAAGATAGTAGCATTGCCTAAATTCAGATGGTAAATTATAACACATAATATGACGTGTAATGTAACATGATGACGTAAAATATATAACGTATATTACGTATATTATAACATGACATATATTCTAATATGACGTGGAATTTATCTGAACATATTTACCCTTTAAATCATCATTATTCATACACTTTAACAACGCGTCAAATATAACATCACGTCAATATAATATAACATCACGTCAAAATATAACACGACGTCAAATATAACATCACGTCAAATATAACATAACGTCAAATATAATATAACATCACGTCAAATATAACATGGTATTCTAACACGAAACAGAACTTATGCGTTATTCTTTACCCTTCCTAGCCCGTAATTCTATCCTCATTCATTAATTCATTCATTCATTCATCCGTCTTTCCGTCTATTATTAATTCATTCATCAGATGTAATAAAATTGTAAAACTAGTGGTACTATAATGTATTAGCCGTGTGACTGTCAATAAAAACCGGTGAAAATTAAACTGTTTTTAAGACCCTAGATTTGAGATTTGTCATTTGAAGTGTAATTTAGCATGGACTAGAAAGTTGATTAAAGATTTCAAGACAGCGAGGAATCTTTCTACCCAATTATCTCATTCTCACGCTTATTTTAACTTCTAGAAACTTTTTTTCTTTAATAAATGATTAAATAAGGTTTTTCTATTGACAAGCATTGGCAGCATGACGGAAGGAATGAATAAATGAACGAATATCTGGTTGATTGAATGAATAAAAGTGAAATAAAATGGAGTATTACATCCGTTTTCTTTTGAATTCAAATTCAAATCGTATTGCCGATTAGCAATGGGTAGCGAGGGATATGGAATGGGATTGAATGAATAAAAGACAAAGAAAATGAGGGAAAAATAATAATGGATGAATGAATGGTATTTTTAAAAAAAATGTGGAAAAAAAAGATATGAATGAATGAATGAATGTGGCAATGTATTGACGAATGAATGAAATTTTCATCATGTATTCTATGAAATGATATTATTTTCAATCAGGCCACTTAGAACGTTCTAAAGTCGTAAAATCAGTCAGCTCCGTGATAGTCACTGTGATTTTATGGACAGTAAAACACGCCTCATTGAACAATAACGACCATTTGGGGAAATATTCTGGGATATTACGAACCATTCCTTCATTATCAGGCAGTTTCACCATGTTCACAAATGTTCCTCGCAAGCAATAAGTAGCGTGGGAAACTTAAGTCCATTAGGTATGAGGTAGCTAAGATACCCTTACTTCATTGACTGGTAGGGGCGGGGGGATTGAAGTGCATCAACGTCTGAACAACGTCACCCCTTTAGGAGAGTCCACATAGCTAAAAATATTAAATTCAACATCAGTTATTCAGAAAATACAAGTCTTACTCCATATCATAGATAGAAACGATTACTTTTTACATGAAAATAACTTAGTTCCAGAAAGGATTCTTTCTAGCAGCTGGTCAAGGAACCGACGCCTGAATTCGAACCAATATTCATAAACATGAGCTAAAAGGTAACTGGTAGTGATACCAGGTGTTCTAGAAGGTAGTTGTTTTATTGAATGCACGTGTAAACTGACCGTTGACCTTTGATTTATCATCTGATGTCTATTTACTATCGTGTTATAATATAACAATCAACCACGTCCAGATTTTATCTTCAGATATATATAGTTATTTATCTGGTCGTCATTTGGTTTATATCGATATAACCAAAATCAAGGGCATGAACTCATGGACGTACCAAATGTAAATGAAGAATGAATCCAATATCTTAGTCAAAAGCCAAATCAAAATTTGGCTGGTAAAATAAGAAAAGTGACAACAGCATCACTGGAAAAGAGGACCTCAATTTATTTTCCAGATCAAACTAATCAAAAAATGCACGTCCTTTTGGAATCTTGATCGTATTAAACGAATTATGCACCTACGACCACTATAAGCCTGTCATTTAACAAGCCACGAATAAAAATCATTAACAGATTGTTTTTTTTACAAAAACGCACTGAAATTCATTTTAACCAGGTTTTTATTAGGAATCATAGCACTTTACAATCTGCTACATTATTGATGTAGCTTTTAACTTATATTATTATAGTTAACTATCTGGTAATTCACTGGGCCAATATCAAAAACTACCATATCCCTTGGTAATTAAACACATCATAAAATAGGGCGGATCAAAAGAACCGGTAACACGGGATAATGCATTATATAATTTGGTTTTTATTTTATCGGTTGCACTCTGTTACTTCATAAATATTTGCCTTTTTCTCTTCTGTTTGATGGACTCGTTTTATTGGTCTTAACTGGATATTTTCCCTATATTAGCCCCATAGATGTAGGTCCCGGGGGTGGAGTGGGGTGATTATACTTATAATAGTGAAGCTCAAATATAATAATGTTTTTGGACTTGGACTCAAGAGTTAAAATGAAATGAATGGAGTTTTACGTCTTACTCTTCTGCACCTAGTTTTGACTGGACAAGTTATATGATATCGTGAAAGGATTATGCTAATAATGATATTTAATATTCAGACCTATTTTATTTAATACATATCATCGATTATACTCTTTGTTTTCTATGAATATTCTCGCTCTTATCAATTGATCACCTCTGTTCGGTAATACCCTACTGAGATATCGATAAATATAGCAATTAGCAATATTGCTGCCGTTTAACTCCTGGGTGCAGACACAGTTATCTTTGATCTTTGTTCACTGCCTAAAGGCTTGTGTGTAAGTGTGTGGAGGGTGGGGTGGGTATTTGAATTATCTTTACTCGTAAGTTATCGTTTGTCAAAACATTCAGATGAAATGGGAGGAGGAAAGGGGGGGGGGGGATTCTCCATGAAAGAAAAAGAAAGAATGCAGGGTAAGAATATAACCTAGACGTGTTTTATAACCTCACAATAAATAATAGTCCGTGATCTCTGGTATTTATATTTTTAATATAGTCAAATTAGTCATAAAAATATATTTAAAAACATCATGAAACATCCCCAGATATATATCATATTAATAATAGACAAAACACTGAACGAAATGGAGTTTTACACCCTCCTGTTTCATTCTGCCAATAAAATTCTTCAGTAATCTTTATATCGTATCTATATATCAATTCATAATGGTATGGTGTTTTACAACCTTCTTTTCTACGTCTTATTAAGGTATTCTGATTTTCAAAGGCAATCGACTTCATATACCATAGGGTAGTTCTAAAATTATTAGAACACATTCACATATACATCAAATAAAACGAAGGAAGTATTACGTCCAAATTTATTCTGTACTTCTGTCACCTCTTTCATCAGAACTCGATACGCTACTTAATAATATAGAATTAAACACAGATTTTCATTAATTGAATACCAATAATCGCCATTTGTCTTTCAGATTTTTAAATCATTACCGTCAGCAGTCATTTAATATCAAAACATAGTTTGTACTGAATGAACAATATATTATATTGATCCAGATTCCCAATTCCCAGCCCATTTATCGTATTTCTAGATGTGAAGCACCCTTTAATATTGACGTTTAGTTTAACCGTCTCCTTATCTATTCATACGCGACCAGTTTAAATTGATAAAGAACTCTTCAACGTGACAAATAACTAGAATATGTCAATCATAATAATTGCTAGTTATGTCTTATGACAAATTATTCTTATTTAATTAATAGATAGGCTCGCTCAACATGACCATTCCTCCTCGTAAGTTTCTATATTCTACAGTTCTATATTATTCGATTATCCAGACAGATTCTTTTTCGGCTTTTTTAAAAGCAAAAGGATTTCTTGCTATCGAACAGACAAACTGTCTTGGTTTCATTGCTTTATATGGTTTGAAAGAGGGTGTGGTTGAGCCAAAACGAGGCCATCTGCCTCTCCCACTCAACTCATAACCCAAAATTTTGTCCGGAAGTTTGTCCATGGTAACGACGATGGCTAAGCCACGCTCCGTGCTTTAGATGTCGAATCCATCCCACTATACGAGGATTTATTGAGGTCTTAGACGACCAATTGTCAGATTAGTGTCTTGTATATGTTAACGATGTACGTGATACTAACTAAGCGAATTAATATTAGCCGTAAAGAGCTGTAGAGTAATTTGAGTGACAGAGTCTAATAAGACTATTTACTACAATGTAATAGATTGTTTTCTAGCACGAATATTGTCTCACTGATAACATCTTTATGTCTTTATTACAGAACAGTAAGATGTAAAACTTTACTTTATGTCATAATGTAACAGGAAAAGTGGGGACTTTCCGATTTAAAACTCCATCTAATTTCATTAGTGTATGATGTACTTGAGCGTGATTGATAACAGATTCCTTTTTATTGTTACCCCCGTGTGACACAACGTCACACTGTGACAAAACGTCACGCCCTGTTATAACGTCACGCTTTAACGTCTCAGTTATATCGCCACAACTCGTGTTTAGCCAACTTGTGTCGTATAGAATACCATCCCCTTCCTCCTCATTACGTCAAGCTCTAGATAAATCAAATATTTTGAGATCCTATTCAGAATGACCCTAATACAACCATCATCTATCGGTCACGGAAGAAACTCAATAAAGATAGCTGTCTCGTCGTTTTACTAATTATAAAACATCGACATAATGATAAGAGATTTCTGTAGGGATTGTACTAATTTTCTACAGACTCTTTGAATCACTTTCCATACTCAGCGAGCTTTAGTTCGTTAATTTACCGAGTGTTTACGGAACGTGCCGAAGATGATAATAGGCTGATAAGAACTCTATATCAAAGCTGTCCTAGTTACTGAAAAAGCACAACCTCTCGAAACGAAATTAGATTTGACAAGTGCTTCGTAATGCAATATGTCTGGTGGAATTTACAGAAGCCAGCCATGAAAATGTTCGGCACCAGAATAAGAATGAAGCTGGGATTCTTGACAGGGGTAGGGGTGCGTCCAACTTTACTGGGATATACTGTTATTTTACTGGTTGTCGTTTAACCCGAGTGTAGGCCATTTCTATAAATTCAAGTCGTTTTGTAACCAAATTGAAAAGAGTGAAAACCTCGTAGCCATTAACAACTCATAATATTAGTACTATAGTAACAATTGGCGGGAAATGGAACCGGAAGTGGCGGAAATGGTTCAGAGAATCTTAATTCCATTCAAAACAATTTACATGCGGAAACGGCTGCTTTCACGACAACAAAGACTGTTTTAACCGATTGAGAAGTTCTATCGATTTAGGTTTAACGATGGCACCACATTTCCTTAGACGACAAACGGTTCCAATATTGATTGTACGCATGCGTTGAGGCCAACATCGGTCAATCGTGAAGTTATCACTTCCGGTTTATCACAAACATCAATTTGGGTTTCATTCTATAGATTTTTCTATAGAATAATCCCAAGCACAACCCAAGCACGCATAACATTAAAAAAATTGCAAAAAGCAAGAAAAGCTGCAAAAATGTTCAGTCGTTCTATCAGGACGTGATTTTCTTTCTTTTGATAAGAGATGACGGATATTCGATAAAATAATGGAAATAAAGTTATACTGACTTCTTCCCTTCACTGATTGTCATCTCAAATATTTCTGTTATTTTTATTTCAGTTGAAAGTATATGTTATACATGTGGATACAAGGTACGAGAAGAAAAATGTATGGATACTTTTATACCCCGAGACGGTCGGGAATCTTCAGCCTGTAATCTCAGTAGACAATCTAGTAAGTATATTAGTATTTGATAGTCGAGGAAACTGACCTATTATCCCTCCGCATAATTTAAAAATACATGGAGATGGGAACAGTAGGCCTACTCTGATTTTTTAGGAGTTAATGACGATTAATATTGCATTAAGTACAGTACAGTACGCCCTGCACCGTCATTTGCATTTCGTCACACGTCACGCTATATACATAACGTCACGTCTTGTTACATAACGTCACGCCACGCCGTCACGTCACATTCATAACGCCACAACTCCTGTTTTTCCAGCTCTCTTTGCTAGACATTTATTACTTAAGATGTAAATTGGAGAAGATAAGTAACTCGATTGTCAAGTCCCACGGCGCACATATGAATGAAATATTGAGGCTGAATTCGATCAAGCGAATTTCTTAACGTACCAGTAATTCAGAGGGAGTCCCATTGCGTGAATATGTTCTGCAACTACCCTCTCTGGAATGCCCGGAATTCCGAATTTGGTTGATTTACTACTAGATCTTAGGACAAAAATCAATAGACAATATCCCCGTGGACGCTAAGAAATTTACACATTCATCGCTTCGATACATTTGAATTGAAAACTTATAATTTCTATATAATCAAAAGAGTACAAATAGATATACCAACTCTTCGAATAAGGGAAAGTTGTAATGACCTATGCAAGATAAAAGTTGCTTTCAGGACAACGGTAAGACAAGCTACAGGATAAGCCAGAGCAAATAAAAAGAAATGGTGTTTCATATTTACAAAACAAAATATAGACATTGCTACATGCAAGCGTGTTGATTGGTCGGTTTGAAAATCACGTGATATAAACACTAAATTGAAACTCCGTCATTAGTAAGTTACAAGGAATGAGTAAGGCATAAGGTCTGAGTAACACACAAAACCGTGTATAAAATGGGACATATTATTTTGAAGCTAAACGATATGGACTGGGAAAATATGAAATATATTTGTAATAATTATGAGTAATTCCAAGTCGTCAATTTAATGATAACCAAGGCACCACAATCCATTATCAGTTTCTAGATATCGGGTAACTTAATCCTGGCAAAACGAGGAATTTACCAAAACCCACACATTAAGATATCATTTAAAGTCCCTAAGGAAAACATCTCGCAGTTTCCATCATATAATCGTGTTATAGCATAAATTCCATTGCATGTACCAATCGATCGTTTTGGCCCATTCTGATTCAAGAATATAAACTAAATCATTTGATTGGATAATACGAATTGAAACAGCCAATTAAAAGGTGGCATGTGTTAACTATTTACAGAACATTCAATTGCCCAAGAAGTTACACTGATTCAAGAAGCTGGTATATGTTTACCATTCTGAATTTCGTATTAGCGATTTCACTTGATAACTATTTTTGGTTGAGCCAATCAGCAATTAGTAGTTTCAAACTGTCGAAAACTTATTTCAAAACAAGTAAAGTAACCTGAAAACGACATGTCTATCTCGGGATTAGCGGTAAAATTGACTGCGAACTCAGCCGAGAAGAGCGTAAACAAAACTTCAATTGCAGCATAGAACAAATTCCCCCCTCCGGAGAGGTTCAAAATTACGCCATGCAAGGAAGCAGACTATTTGATGTACAGTATTTATCCCAAGGAGAATACCACTGTTTTGGAGCCAGACCAGACTTGCTTCAAGCGAGTTATTTAGTGCAATTCGATCCGTCTTAACCATGATATCATTATCATATGTCTATTGTCAAGGAGAATAATGCTTAATTTCATCATAATTGACGCAACAAAAGACACCAACGTGGGAAAAGCCAATCAAAAACCAATTATGCAGATCACAGATCGGTTTTGAGATTATTGTCTCGTTCTTTTCTTGGCGCCATATTAGGCCTCGGTTACAATCAGACGCCATTTTGTAGGAAATAGCAGTAGAATAGCTCAGTTGAAAGCGAGACAGAACCTCGGGCTCAAATTCATACGGATTCAGAACAATCGGTCCAATTGGGACATTTTTAATTTCAATATGGCGTCGATCATATAGCCGAGTGATTTTTTTCTTTTCATAACCTAAGGTAATTATCAGACCAATAGACTAGTCAAAGAAAAACCCAGACCCCATTAGCTAAATATGACAAATGGCAATTATTCCTATTTAGAATAGCCATAATAAAGTAGTTCCTGGCGGTATTATACTAATAAGACAAATGAGTAAATAAATAAAAACTAGCGGATGAATACATCAATCATCTGAATGACAGGACGGCTAATGTTCTTGCTATTTATTGGAATAATACCAAATTGGTTTAAGGACTTCTGAATAACTTGGAAAAAATTGTCAGATTTTAAATACAAACAAAAAAGCAAATATCACTTTATTGCAATTAACAAAACCGGAAGAAGGAAAAGCACTTCCGGTTTACTATGCAGTGATAGGTTGTCTCCCTGGATGGTGCGTTTCTGCCTTGCAAAAGCTTTGTAAGATCGTATACAAGCAACTATATCTCGAAATATTGGGAGAATCAAGTAAGCAGGTCTTGGATTACAATTTTTGAAAATTACAAAGCTATCTAGTTTCAGACAGTACAGGTGGAGATTTTACAGAGTGCGTTACACTGTCTTACGAATAGACAAAGAAGCGGCAAGTTCCAGATTGTAGACTTGCACAGTTTGTTCAGAACATTTATAAAAGTTTAAGAAATGATGATACAAGAGTCGATTCATTATTCTATAAACTGTGATTGATCTAATGTTCTCGGTTTGTTCTGGATTCATCCATCAACTGTGACAGGTATATTCTTCCTTACAGACTTCTAAATACACATAATAGTTATATGATAGTTTCACATATCATCTAAGGACGACAACTCTACTTCCCTTCATATATCATTGTCTGTTTATGGATTGTGCTTCTGTATAAATATATATAGTAATGTTATCAATAGCATTGTCTTCAAAGGACCCAAAATCTAACATATTTCGAACATGTTTCCCTTTTGGACAGAGATAATAAATATTGGTAATATCACGTGATATTCAAACTGACCAATGAACACGCTTGCGCGTAGCCATTTTATATTTTGATTTGTAAATAAAAGCCCACACACGAAACTTGTGAATAATGCATGAATACAGGCAATCCCTTACTGTGAAAAAGGTCGTTTTGTTTGGTCGAAGTTTAATTGTAAGCCTATTTGCAAATGTTGTGTAGCTCCATACCGTGTGCTCATAGAAACATCAAACCACCCACAAAACTCTGTTAGGTTACCTACCCCTCCCATGCTAACGCGACCTTACAGTTCCACCTTCCGTGTCGGTGCATCATCCGTCATTCGTCCTGCAATCGCTCAACTCACCAGCGACTGTCGCGAGGGGAATTCTAAAAGCAGAAATTCCATTAATCAACGTCTAAAAACATGTAATGTAGTTCTCGACACCGGATAATCAGGTCTCCCAGGGGACACAACTCATTGAAACTAAAACTCAAGTTGAGCTTCCCTGAATAACACGCATATATATTATTATTCTCTGTTTGACAATAACATATACATCATTCGTTCAAAATAACATGACCTACTCTGGGTTGGGGGTCTCGCATACCCACCAATGAAAATCGTTCTATGGACAGACAATATTTATTTTAATTGTGTGACTGACGGACATGGGGTAGCATATTTTTTTTGAATACATAGATTACTACTCACTGGTTAAGCTGAAAACTTCTGTGTAGAATTTCACTGAAAATTAAAAAAATATCTCATCAGTATTAATATTACTTTTTTTTTCAGAATACGATCTATGCAGAAAATACCGTGATGGTTGGACAGTAATGTGTAACAGAAATGGGAACTTTTTAATGTGTGGAGAAAAATGTTACACCGGGCATGCTACATCAACCAAATACAGCCTTTTTCTTGTCTCAACAGTTGCCTTCGTCCACTTAACAAACTTGGCCGCTCGCCTTTTCTCTTGAATGTGATTTTGGAATTACAACACAGGCGAACGTAGGAATGTTAATTTTATCCACATGCATGCGTAAAATATAAACTTTCTAAACTTATTATTATGACTTATGGTTGAGTGTAGAACAACTTTGGAATATGACTCTAAAAGTGTTACTTCGTACTGGGTTAAAGTTAAGCATTTCATCTGATTTGACAAAAAAATACAACACAGGCATTCGTATAATACACATTTCAAGTTGTTTAACAATGAGCCACCGAGTCGTTTAGTTGTGCCAGAAAAGATCCGACTTTTCAAAAGATTGATAATTTACAGATATAAAATTTGAGTGTGAAAAGCTTGTGCCGATCCATTGCTAAACTGTTATTGAACTCCTTGTGGGGGAAATTCGCATACAGTAGTGAATGGGCACAAAACTTAACTCAGTTGAAATAGAAATTGGAAAACGCGTCCTGATGGTCTTACTATGCATTGCTTTATCTTATGCTTACGTGAACAACTAACTGTGTCATTCTAGGACATTGAATGATCTAGTGTGGCTATTTATTTATTGATGGTATTTAATAGGCCAGGATGACTACATGCACTATTATCACTTTCTCAATTTCTGGATCTGTTTTATTTTAGTTTTTTTTTTTATCAATAGTTGATTTCAGTGTTCATATATATTTGTAATCTGGCATGGTTGGAATTTTGAGGAAGATATATCGTTAGATAACTTGCAGTGAAAATTTGGAAAAATAAATTTGCATTTGCATCATACACAAAACGTGGCTTGTGAACCCTAGAAAAGCCTCTATATTTCTGGAATCAACTCTCTGCATCATACATTATATTATGTTTTTTGTTTTAGTTTTCGTTAGTTGGTTTTAAGGTAAATCTTATTTTATTAATTAATTAATTATTATTTTATTCTGAATGTAAATTGTATATATTTATGTAATGTTCATAACAAACTACAGTCTTTAATATATCTCAGTATTTCTTTTGCTTTTGATTCCTGTCTATAGTTCAACTCAATGGAGATGCTACCATGTAAAACTTTGATACTGAATTTCAAAGAAAAATTTCAAATCTTCTCTGAAAAACTTTGGACTTTATTTCTACAGAAATGATAGATTGTAATTCTCACTCCGGTTTTTATCTTCTCACTATAAGTATAAATATTGTTATTAAATTTTGCTTTTTATATATAAGTTATTTTATATAATAAAATGTTTATAAAACATGTTATTTCTTTTCACCGGGACAATATTGCGAAGGGGACGCTAAAGTGTTCTCACTTCAAACGAATGAAACAATACACAAGGAAATAGAATTATAAAATACAAAGTAATTTAATAAATATAAAGGAATTCACCACAATTAGTCCAGCACCAAGTACCTTATTGATTGTTCACAGTATTTAAATGCACGACCATTTCACGAAAGGACTAATTGTGAGTAAATACCGATTAACATAAATCTATTGGTGTTTAATCGGTCTACTCGACCCTAGAAATCAATTAACCGCCTTCAATCCCTCCAAAACATGAACAGAAAATAAAGCTAATTGCTTTTTTACATCATTTTGTCAAAACAAAAAGAACAATAGCAGAAAAACATTTCTCACGGGTGATCGATACAGTTAAACGATTTCTATTCTTTCGTTTTCTATAAATATGTAATCACAAATTTGTACGATTGATTTCTGATTTGTTTGATTGTGTCGATACAGAAGAATGAGTTATCTGATTTAAAGGTTATCGGTGATTAAGTGTAAAATAAAATGGGGCTTTATGACTGTATCGAGCTAGGATTATGGGCGGGCAAAACGCCATGCTTTTCCATAGCAGCAGGAATAACTCCATTGTTGCCTTTTTTGGATCACAACCTGAAAATTTGGGAGAATTAAATCCCCCCTTCCCCTTAATCAGTAATTATTATTACCTTTCAAAACGTCTGGGTTTATTAAAGAAACAGACGAAACGTTGTATGCCATACTGAAGTAGTTTAGTGAAATATTGAAAAAACATCCTACCATATCAATTACAACCGAACCATTAAAATTCCGAGTTAACTGCCGGACAAACCGATCAATCAAAGCTACGGAAACGTAACCTTTTCCCATATTTACTTAGATTTTGATAACTGTTGCTATGTTTGGAAAACAACTTGCCCATTTAGAATAACAACTGATAGCAATCTACTGTCATGTAATGACTCAGTATCGATCATATTTAAGTTAATGATAGGCTTGGTTTTAATTTTGTATATTATTGTTTGGGGTGGTGGTGCGGAATCTGACCCTTTGTTACAACATTCTTGTCTTTTTCTGACCTATTGTGAGGTCAATTTTTGGGTTTTCAACGGACGTAATTCTTTTTTTTTAAATTCATTGACTTCTACCATTGCTTTTATTCCTAGCTCTTCATTATGACTATGGTATAAATATTTCTAATATTTGGCGCTTACTGGTACTTGGTGCTGTAAAGGGCCGAATCATAAATAATTAAATATACCCAGTAGATTATCGAATATTGCCGCTTTAAAGGACTCAATCTGTCATTCCTTCGACTCGCTCTTTAACTCATTCAGTAAATAAGACAGTCTATGATAACCGAGCTAATAACATCATTACAGCTTTAAACTGCATCTAGTTTCTATTTATTCAACTATAATTAACACACAGAATCATTTCGTTTCGTGACTAGAAGAGAAATCTTTATTTAAAGAAGATGGTAATTATGTACGCAGCCTCCAAGACGACTCTATAATAACAGTGATAAGACGAGAGTTAAGTGACGGGTTAACTCTATATAAAGGCTTTAAGTATAGGTTAATCTTCCGAAAAGAATGACAGTTGGGTCAGGCCATGAATAGGGGTAAGGGTTGAATAAGAATAGAATAGATTCCATTTGTCACTTCAATTAAAAGATTAGAATCACATTCGAAAAAAAAAAAAGAGACCAAAGCACGGAGAATTGCGACAGTAAAATCAGAATCTCAAACTTGCAAAATTTTTTAACAAATTATACAGTTAAACTTCTTGCTAAACAATATAATCTATCTCGTTTAATTAATAGTACTAGTGATATTTAGTGATCTAATATGACATTCTTTAGACTATTTTCATTATAAATGTTAAATTGGTAAATTATAACTAAAAGTTCACCAACAATTCATTATATTCAATCAGATTTGTTAAATGTATTACAAACGTCCCTTTTCGATAACATCCATCGTGAATTATTGAAGAAGGTCAAACATTTAGAAAAAATACAATTAATTTGTATTGGAATTATCTTATTATATCTCTGGAATTGATCCATTTTAAAAATAAGTTTATAAAAAATGGTGCGAGGTTATCAACGTCACCAAAACTCTCAGGAGAAGACCCATCCAGCCTTTGGCGTTTGGTTGTCATGGTAAAATCTGCAGCTCGGTGCTGGTCGGTGATATAGGGTAGGGCATATATCAAAGACCTTATTTAAAAAGACAGCCCCCTTCCCTCACTTAAATGGGCATTCAATAACCCAATGAAACAATCTGTGCTATCAAACTCAGTACGACAGTTTAAAATTCGTTTCTCCACCAATGTCCTGAGCTGATATGAGGTTTATCCAGTAATAAAACGCTACAGGTTTAACTCGTTCAGTTTAATGGACCGCAACTCTTAACTTATTATAGAAAATACGTTATATAGTGCCCAATAAAACTATGAAATCAGCTATATTATCATTGAGGGATTTCTCTGGTCTCTCGACAACTTAATGCTTTACCATAGTTCAGTTCAGTAAAGGAATTAAATACATCTAACTCTACGCTAGCCTTATGAATTGAAATGGTTATTTACTGTCTAAAATGTATGGGCGTGTGGGAATGTATAACGTCGTTCAGTTTGAGTTTGCAATGAAGAAATATGAAAGAACGACAGAATCATTCAGTGCGCAATGGGGATAACTTGGCGTCTACTCGCTATCTCTTTTTCAGCTTCTAGCTATCGGGGGATTTTTACTTTTACCACTCCATTCCTCCATGTAGTTTCTACTGCTAGTAATTTACGAGATTTTAAATATTGAAGAAATAAAAGAGTTCTGTACTTGACAAGAAATCGTTTGAGAGGAAAAAGAACAAACATTAGAAATTATCATTGAAGTCCCCTGATATTAGACTAAGATTAGTGCATCGTTTATCATCCTTGTATCTTTCTTATAGTTTACATAGATAGTTTTTCCTGGTTGATTTAAAGGGGGTATGCCCTTATGGTTCAGTTTGCCCTCTGTTGCTGTTTTAGGGAACACCCACATAAAGACTAGTGGATCCCTATAGTTTACACATCTAAAACTGACTTTAAATGATCTCAAGAAAAATGCTAGGTGCTCTTAAAAAAACGTTTACTTTCTCAGTGAACAGCAAACACCAATGTATTACAATACCAAACTATGGTTTGATCAATTGGTACACAAATTCTAGATTGTGGCATTCTTGAATAATTGGCTGAGAAAATTGTAAATGAAAGTAAATTTGATGAGAGTAAGATAAGTTTAAAAGTAAATCAATTGAATCAAGAGTAGACATCTAAATAATCTGTAATAATAACATTATCATTACTCGTATCATAAATCTTAGACAGTACTCTCTCAAACTATAGTCAAATACACTGGTTTCATCTGATGAAATTATTGAACTGAATTCTACTAATTCACAAAATAATAACAAAACTAGATTTATTAGGAAATTACCACATAGTTTAAAAGGTGGAACTTGAAATATACGAAAAGTTCCAGTTACTAAGTTATCAATAAATTGTTTTAGAAAATGCAGCTGGATGGAAGGAAAAGAGGCTCTCTCGCAAGCTAGCTAATTGTCGGCATCAAATTAAATTCAAATGGTTTAAACTTCAAACGGAGAAATGCAATTTAAAAAGCGATCATGAAGATGCGTGCTTAAGTTACATTGCAGTAACAAATCCATATGGACTGAAATATTTAGTAGTTGAATACTCAACTAGGTTATAAATAAAATTCC